AGTAGAGAAAGGTAGAGGTGGAAGGGAAAGAAGAGAGGCGAGAGAAAGGGAGGGGAGAGCTGGTTAGAGCCTCAAGAAGTCAAAACGAAGGGAAAGGGGAGAGGATAAGGATACTGGTGGGTAAGGAGGTGAGATCTTGGTTGGACGTAGAAATTGAAAACATTGATAGAAATTGCGGTGGGGGTGAGTTATATGGATTTATGATGTTCAGTAAGAAACTCGGTGATGACAGTAAAGTTTATGAGCGGCGTGTAAAATCACGGCCAAATAAAAAACCCGATGCCTGTTCACGACTACAAGTTTCGCAGTTCTCACCCAAATCCACAAACGAGTGCAAACCGGCGTGGTCGAACCGAGCAAGGTTTTAGTGACTGTGTCAAATTAAACTATGCTTTTTAGTTTTATCACTTTCCATTGGAGTGCGGCATTGCTCGGCGATACAAATCCCTCTCTTTCGCGTTTATAGTTCTAACCCTTCCTCCTTCAGTGTGCACCTCATTTACAAATACAGACAATTAGCACTGAACACTTTTAACGACGAGTTCTCGCTCTTCGGGCGTCGCCCATTCGTTTGCGTATCTGCGACAGTAGGAACATGTCGGCACAATCTTCAGATTTTCCTCTTTTGCAAATTTGAATACCTCCTTGCAAAGCTGCCTACCAAAACCCTTACCACGCAAATCAGGCGGTACTTCAGTATGCGTTAACTCCAGGATGTTATTCCGCAAACGTCGATATTGGAGCAGCGGCCGCGCACCATTGAGTTTGATGAAAAACTGTGATGCTTTGCGGCAGTGTTCCACAAGCATGACAACTGGACTTTTCTGAGCAGAAGACACGTAAAATCACCTGAAATGCATAGCTAAAAAGCTCTTTCATTTTTCCACAGCGTAAGTTAGAACTAACAGAGCTGCATTTTCTTCCATACGTTTATTTAAAAGCCAAAAACAACTGCCAACAGTAAGCAACAGTTTGACTGATCACCGATGACTGTCCACTCCGCATGTTACTTAAAAGCAACTTGATGACGACTCTTCAGCATGTGCCAGTACCAATTTACCACTGAAGTGACTGAAACATCCCACAGGTGGAATTGGGCCTTCGACTTTCTGCATGGGAGCAGTGCAACTTGATGGCACAGTAAAATCCGACAGGGGGTGGGCAAATGCTCAGCACGAAAGTGAGTTGGATATTTGTGTGAGGTAATCGATTCCGATCAACTTCATTAAATCAATCCCGATCAATTCAGAGGATGAATTTCGCTATCCTATTCAAGCAGCCAGAGCAAAGCTTATACTAATGATGGATCCAAATATACTATTTGACGAAGAAGCTAGGAACCGCATATTCCCATGGT